GAGAGAGGGGAGGGAGGGAGAAAGATTTTTCTTCTAATAAAGCCACAGTCCTATCAGATTAGGATCCTGCCTTATAATCTCATTTAACCTAATTACTTACTAAAGGCCCTATATCCAGGTAGCAGTTACATTGGAGGTTTGGGCTTCAACATATTTTGGAGGGATGCAATTCAGTCCATATTATTTTTGTTACAGAACACAATTTTATTAGCTTGTTTAATATCATCAACTTAGCTTAATTATTCAATGAATAAAAATCACAGTATTTTCTATCTAAATCTCTTTAATTTTTTGAAAGATATATCTACCACTCTAGATATAATAATACTTACAATTCCTTGTGTGACTTCTCTATGTTTTGATATTTATGGAAATATACATAAACAGTAATATTCATATCTGCCTCGAATATTCAGACTCAAATACTCAATACTTATCAGCCTCACATTTTTAAGTATTAATGAAACAATGACTTAAAACATTCTACTGCAGGTGGCACTCTTTTAAATGTATCCTTTCTCCAGCACACACATAAAAGTGTAAAACTCAATTTTCCTTAAGATGGCAGTGTCTCCTGTTTTATTAAATCCTATTTAGCTGGATATAAACAAAATAGAATAAATAAAAATCAATAATGCATTAGCTCTGGGAAGATAGAATTTCTTTGAAATATTAAATCTAGAATTCTTTTCTATCAGTAGTGCATAGAAAAAATAAGTATGCATAGAAACACATCATAAGGTGTATTTTTTTTCTTCCACACATGAATAAAATCCTTGTAGTCAAAACGGCAGATGCTTTTATTTCCAAGAAGGGAAAAGGAGAAGGGACTACACATTTTTTTAAATGTATACACACCTCTGTTAAAGAAACTAATAAGTTCTGTTGAGTATTTAGAATTCATATTGCAGTTTCAGGGTATTTTGACTGTAGCATTTTAAATTCTTTAAAAATATTTTCACTTGTTTTATATTTATAATGTATCAGGAAGAGATTCTGGGCTTTGCATTTGACCAATGAACCAACTTATACACTTAAAAAATGTAGACACATCTGGAAATGTGGTGGGGGAAATGCAAATTTGTTCATTCTTTGTATGAGAATGAGGAAGAATTTGATTTTGAAGGTCTTATTTTTGTTTTTTATTTTTATTTATTTTATTTTTCCATTGCAGTTGACATTCAATATTATATTAACTTCAGGTTTACAGCATAGTGATTAGACATTTACATAATTTATGAAGTGCTTCCTTTCTATAAGTCTAGTACCAACCTGACACCATACATATTTATTACAATATTACCGACTATATTCTCTATGCTGTCTTTCCATCCCCAAGACTATTTTGTAATTGCCAATCTGTACTTCATACTCCCTCTCCTTTTTTCACTCAGCTACCCAACCCCCTTCTTATCTAGCAACTATCAATTTGTTCTCTGTACCGAGTTCATTTCTGTTTTACTTGTTTATTTTGTTTTTAGATTTCACATATAAATGAAATCATATGGTATTTGTCTTTCTCTGACTTATTTCACTTATCGTAACACCCTTTAGGTCCATCCATGTTGTTACAAATGGTAACATTTCATTCTGTTTTATGGCTGAGTAATATCCCATTGGGTGTGTGTGTATCAGCTCTTCTTTATCCAGTCATATACTGAAGGACACTTAAGTTGCTTCCACGTCTTGGCTATCATAAATAATGATGCAATGAACATAAGGATGCATATATCTTTTCGAATTAGTGTTTTGGATTTTTTCGAATAAATGGAGGGTCTTAATTTTAAACACTGAGAACTGGAACACACAATCAAATCATGATTTTCTTTATTACTGAGAGTGAAAATTTTGTTTTGGAATTAATTTTTTGTTCGCCTTCATCGGATGGCAAAAGTATGTTTAAGGAAGAAGTGATCAATTTTTTTGTCTGGTTTTTGTGCAAAAGTTAGACACTTTACAGATGCAATGATAATAACATTGACCATTCTAAGCATTATAGAAATACCTTTGCCTCTAGCGACATAATATTCTTTCTTCTTTTTGATTCTTTACCTGCAAGAGCAAGCCTAATTTGTATACAGAGAATTGTCAACCTGCTTACCCATCTCTTCGACTAGTGATTGAAGGTTTTCTAAAAGAAATGTGTCCTATCTTCAGTTTAACTTACCTCATTCTATTTACTTTAAAAAAATGGCCATGAATTATTCACATTGGAGAAAATCATTATAGCTTTTCTTTCTACCTGATACAGGACACTATCTTTTAGAGACAGGATCTCATCTTTTCTAGATTGTGTTTATTCGCTACTAATATTCAGAACATATGATTTTTCTAAAATATTTTAAAGTGAGAAAAAGATGATTTTAAAATGAAAAACTATGAAAATTTGAATTAAGTAGCTATAATTAAAGCTGAATTGAAGAAGTAAATCAAATTACATTTTATTATCATTTTTTTTTTCAGGTAACAGAAAGAAAGCAACAGTTGGAGAAATGCTTGAAATTGTCCCGGAAGATGCGAAAGGAAATGAATGCCTTGACAGAATGGCTGGCAGCTACAGATATGGAGTTGACAAAGAGATCAGTAGTTGAAGGAATGCCTAGTAATTTGGATTCTGAAGTTGCCTGGGGAAAGGTAAAACCTATATCACTGAAGGTTATTTTTAACATGCATGAAAACATAATTTTAGAAGGAACTGTTCATGTGCTACAGTAATATAATTACAAATATTATCTTGGTTCATTTCCCTTTTCTCAAAAATTCATCAATAGTTTAAGTCTGTATATTTCAAGATCATGGTAAAACCAATGGGAAGCTTTATCAAGAGTGTCCCCAAAGCTTATTTAAAATTAGGTCTAATTCTAATTCTGAATATGTCCTTTAAATATATATAAAAAGGTGAGATTCTATGTTGCCTGATTTGCCTAAGACAGACTGACCAGATGGAACCACACAACTGTGAAGAAGGCAAGGATACGAAACTGCAGACAGTTGGGCTGGGCAGGACTAGAAAATCAGCAGATCACCAATGTCACAATCAAAAAATAAAATCTCAAGAGGTCTGTGCAGCTGCTGTCATTTCCATCACCAGAGGGCACAGTTTCCTTTAATCCTCAGCTGGTAAATTCTTGCTGTTTATCTGACAGCCAATCAGACATTATTGCTCCCGAAATTTAAGGTCAAGATACAGCTTAATTTTTTTTTCAGTTGATTAATTACTAGATTACTTGAAAGTGTGTTGATATAAAGGAAATGATTGATATTAATAATGTGTTTTCACCTCAAACTTTGTAAACTATTGGGCGTTTAGAAACACCCTACCCCCTAGTTGTTTTTTTTTAATTAATAAACACTTGCCTGTATTAAGTAGATGTTTAAGAGCTATGTACTTTATTTTGAATTCAATAAGGCTATCTAGATTATCCAAAGTTAGAAAATTTTAATCACTTTATTTAAAAACTTATAATCATGCAATCAAATCAGAACTGATAACTGATTTTCTTTATGTAGGTTGAGTACAACTAGATATAAATTTTTGTTTTATAGGGATTTTAAAAATAAATAGTAGTGAATTTCCTCCCCCCTGCCACAGAATAGATTTATTGTTAGGGATTAGATAATGAATTGTATTTATTAGTTCAGGACCATATATATTGTGAGAGTTGAATTATAGTAGCAAGTATACAGATGGTACAGGCTTAAAATTACATTGGCCTTATTTTTTTCTTATCCCCTAAACAAATATTATATTTCTATGTGATGATTTAGCTTGAATCGATGATAATGATATACTTAGGTGCAGGCTGGGCCACTGTAAGAAAGAAGTCCAAAATACCTTGGTTCCAAGAAGATAGAGGTCTGTCTCATGGAAATTCTGAGAAGGGGAAGTAACTTTTTGCCATAAAATTCTCCTAAGATGTAGGTCCCTTTCATTCCATTGCTCTGCAGTCTTCTGGGTATTTATATTCTCATGGTAAAACTTGCTCAACACCACCATCACTCCTCCATCCCAGCCCACAAAAGGAAGGGAGAAGAGGAAATTAGGGGACAACCGGCTCTCTCTTAAAGATGTATTATGAAAGCTCCATGCATTATTTCTGCTCATATTGACTTCGCCAGAATTTAGTCAAGCCTCCAGGGAGGGTAGCAAAAAACTGAGTGGTCAATGTGTCCTGTTGAAATGATGAGTGGATCTTGTACTGAAATGAAGAAAGAGAGAATGCCTTCCTGAAGGACAGATATCAGTTTGGGCCAGAGTGCTGTCTCCTCTGCCTTTTACATCATAAGACAAAGGCAGAGAAAGGCCTGTATGATATGTCTCTCTCTTTATAAGTGCACATGACTGATGGAAATTTCCACCATAAGTACTCATAAACAAAACAAAACAAAACAAACAAACAAACAAAAACAGAAAAGATGATCTACTAAAATATGAAATATAGTAAAACATGCATGGGACAAGTAGTAGTGCATATAGAGGATTTATGAAAATGGTCCGGACTTTATTCTCAGTCTTCCTCCCCTTAAAACTACAGACAATATATTTGATTGTTCATATCCAATTCAATGAGTGTATTAGTTTGCTAGGTCTGTTGTACTAAAGTACCACCAACTAGGTGGCTTAAACAACAAAAATTAATTTTCTCACAGTTTTGGAGGCTGGAAGTCCAAAGTCAGGATTTTGGGCGGGGTCAGTTTCTTTGAGGCCTCTCTCTTTAGCTTGTAAACTGCTGTCTTCTCTCCTATCTTCACATAGTCTTCCCTCCATTACATTCCTGTGTCTAAATTTCTCATCTTATAAGGATACTAGTCATATTGGGTTAGGGCTCACCTTAATGATCTTATTTTAACTTAATCTCTTTAAATGCCCTATCTCCAAATGTGGTCACATTCTGAGGTGTTGGGGTTAGGACTTCAACGTATAATTTTGGGGAGCACAATTCAGACTGTAACAAGGAACTGTGTCAAAAAGGACTTCATCATATGAATGTTGAGGGGACACAATTCAGCCCATAACAGTGGAGTAGTTTTATGATTATAATGTAAAAAGCTAATATAATGGTACAGAGGAGTAGAGCTAGACATGAAGGGAATTCGAAGAATTCTAACTACAATTTAAAACTGAGGTGAAACTATAAAGGTATGACACATATGAACTCCGAATTCCAGAGTCTCCAAAGGTCATTGAATAAGTCACCTAGGAGATATTTTTGCATTAGCTTCACCATAAAATCATAAAAATATAATGAGATAATGAACTTGGCAAAGATTTTCCTTGTATTAGAAAGCTTGAGTGATATAGAGACGTGTCAGTTAATGGAGTCTGTTTGGAAAGGATGTACTATAAAAGCAAGAAGCAATACTAATTTGATATCCACCAGGAAAAAAATCACAGAAAACTGGAATTTCTGTTCTTTATTTATATCATAATTAACTGCTCTTTGTGAATCTTTTGAAACACTAAGCTATTAATGATATACTCTAAAGCCCCTTAGTGGTCAAAGAAAATTGTACACGTTTGCATCTAAATTACATAATATTTTAATAAACTCATTTGCAAGGTTCTGAAGCTTTTTAAAAAATCACAATTATGTAGTAAAAACGTGACATACTGATCTAAAGCAGTTACATTTATGATAATGATTCTAATTTCCTAAAATGAAAAAAATCAAACTCATACATGAAACCCTGTGATTCCTTAGCATATTATCATTTCACATGCTTTCTTGGTAGATAGAGAACAACGTGACTTAAAATATTAGTCTCATCTGCCATTTCAAAGGTAAAATGTCACATTTTTTTCAAAATAGAGTATTCATTTAAATGCAATACATTGAAGGTATTTGCCAATCATTCCAAGTATCTTTGACTTGGAGAAAATTTGAATGTAGAGTCAATTTATTTTTAAACTGTTTCATTTATTTCTACTGAATTTCTCTCAATTCTCTTGATTTAAGAATATTATATTATTTAAATATGAAGATATTTGAATGTCTAGATAAAAATACTTTTATGCATAAGATTAACTTACTAATGAAATGTTTCTTTGACCTTTAGTTTATCCAAACAGAGTATACATTCAAATATGTTGTCTACAATGATATCTTCTCAGTTTTATTTTCACTATATTAAACTTTACTTATTGTATATCTAATTCCAGGAAAACGATTGATTAGGGTGGCTTAAAGAGAAATGTATGATATAACTGTCAAGGATAAATA